CGGGGATCCCTGGGCCGGGGGTCCGAGGGTCAAACCCTTATTGCTGCCACATGACTCGTCGCCTGCACGGAGCCTGGAGTCAACGCGACCCAAGCACCAACCAGTGGAAATTTGAGAACAAAGAGATCTCCTGCTGTCCCAAGAAGATGGATGGAAGAAACAATTCATGAGTCGCGCCACAACCGTGGGCTTGCGACTCTCTGCTCCGTCCCACCCTTCGTCCCCTACCAATACAAACTTCGTAGACTAACGTGCATCTTCCAAGTAGTTTCCATTTCACTCACTATGCTCAAGACGGGCGACAAGATCTTTTAAGCCACCAGTACATGCCATACATCGGCGCGGGCCTCCAAAATGCAAGCCCGCTGTCAATTTATTTAATCGACGGCGTGGGAGGCTCCGGAGTTTTAGGAGAGGCTCGATTGGTTTCTCAACTTGGCTGGTTGGCACAAACCCTCAACAGAGACCTCACCCAGCTTTCCAGCTCCAAGGACCTAATGCAGGGGAAGGAGGTCGCGTAGGAAGAGGGTTTATGGAGGGGAAGGGGGCTGGTCGAGGGGGCAGAAGCGGATCGGAATTAGGGGGTGTGGTTGGAGGAGAGTAGAAACAGAAGGGCTGGGATGGCAAGATACTGACTTCATACATGCTTGTTTGTAGGAGCTTTGCCGGATTCTAAGTTCCTCATCTTTCATAGCAGGTTACTGGATCGTATTTTTACTCCACTGGCTGAAGTTGTGCACCGGTGTGGTTGGAGGAGAGTAGAAACAGAAGGGCTGGGATGGCAAGATACTGACTTCATACATGCTTGTTTGTAGGAGCTTTGCCGGATTCTAAGTTCCTCCTCTTTCATAGCAGGTTACTGGATCGTATTTTCACTCCACTGGCTGAAGTTGCGCACCTCTTTCATCTATCCAGTGCTCATTGAAACGGTATTCACCAGTTCGAAGTAGCTGATGTAGGACCCAGGGTTCGATCCCTAGATCCCCAACTTACCTGTGTACAATATCTGTGACCACTTGAAGAATTGAACCTGCGACCTGTAGAACCGCCAGTGGTAAGTAGGTCTGTCGTAGGTCCTTAGGTAGCCAGGATTTGATCCATAGACCTGTAGAGTAGAAGTCCAGCTGCAGTCCTTCTAGAAGGTTGGCAAGTGGTCAAGTGGGGTGACTAAAGCAAGCCCATGTTGGAGACGAGGACAAGTGGCWAGGGCAAATAGTAGGACCCCAGTGCRACTGCACTGCGTCGTAGGGTTGTCACTATGCAGTCATGGGAAAGTCTAGAAAGTACCAGTCCGGTCCAGCAAGTACCACGGGGGGGACTGTGTGCCTCATGGGCCAGGGATGCAAGGCAAACGAATGCAACACAGAAGTATAAATCAAGAGGCTGCGTCCAGCCATTCATTCATTCCTGCGGAAGCTCTGAGGAAGCGCTGCTCAGGCGTCTTGAGCAAGGGAGGTCTGCAGATGGCCTGAAGACGAAGAGGGCAGAAGTTAGTGATAGGCTAGTTAGCTGTTAGTGGCCATGTGCCATAGCCATAGATAGTTAGTGAGTGTGTATGTGTGTGTGCAGTGGTTAGCGTGCATGGTATCCAGGGTGATCCGGAGTCGAGTTGCGTGTGAACTCTGAGTCGAACGTGTAAGTGTGGGCGCCCAGCGCCATAGTCAACTGAAGTAAATTTGGATTTGAGTTGAGTTGCAAGTTACCATATCTCCGAGTTTGAGTTGGGTGCACCGCGCCAGGCTATTCTCATCTGTTGCATGCATGTTTGAGTGTGGATTTGCAAGACTGATTTCATCATGGTGGTTGCTAGAAGGGGATCAGATGAAACGCAGGCTGCAGTGGGTAGAGGGATCCCTTACTTGCAGAGTGTGTTTCGTGAACGCTGGCTGAAGTTGCACACCTCTTTCATCTATGCAGTGCTAATGGTGGTTGCCAGAAGGGGATCAGATGAAACAGGCTGCGGTGGTGGGTAGACGGATCC